GCCTTGAGGGAAATCTTTGTATCCTCACTGGCTACATGGGAGGTCCCAGTGGATTGGAGAATAACCAACGTTGTTCCTTTGTTTAAGAAAGGTGGCAAGGATAATCCAGCTAATTACAGGCCGGTGAGCCTTACGTCAGTGGTAGGGAAATTATTGGAGAGGATTCTTCGAGACAGGATTTACTCCCACCTGGAAATCGATGGGTTTATTAGCAAGAGGCAACATGGTTTTGTGAAGGGGAAGTCGTGTCTCACTAACTTGGTTGAGTGTTTTGAGGAAGTGACGAAGATAATCGATGAGGTAGGGGAGTGAATGTTGTCTACATGGACTTCAGTAAGGTCTTTGACAACGTCTCTCATAGCAGACTGATACAGAAAGTAAAGTTGCATGGGGTCAGAAGTTAGCGTGCAAGATGGATTAAAAAAAAAACTGGTTCATTCATAGAAGACGGAGTAGCAGTGGAAGGGTACATTTCTGAATTGAGTGCTGTGACTAGTGACGTTCCTTAGGGATCAGTGTTGGGACCTTTGCTCTTTGTAATATATATATAAATGATTTGGAGGAGAATGTAACTGGTCTGATTAGTATGTTTGCCGATGACACAAAGGTTGGTGGAATTACAGATAGTGATGAGGACCGTCAAAGGATAGAGCAGGATATAGATCGGTTGGTGACTTGGGCAGAGAGATGGCATGGAGTTTAATCCGGAAGAATGTGAGGGAATGCATTTTGGAAGGTCTAATCCAGATGGAAAATATATGGTAAATGGCAGAACCCTTAAGAGTACTGTTAGGCAGAGGGATCTGGGTGTACAGGTACACAGGTCACTGAAAGTGGCAACGCAGGTAGAAAAGGTAGTCAACAAGGCATTTGGCATGCTTGCCTTCATCACCTGGGACGTTGAGTTTAAAAATTGGCAGGTAATGTTGCAGCTTTATAGAATCTTAGTTAGGCCGCATTTGGAATATTGTCTTCAATTCTGGTCGCCACACTACCAGAAGGATGTGTTGGCTTTGGAGAGCGTACAGAAAAGATTTACCAGGATGTTGCCTGGTATGGAGGGCATTAGCTATGAGGAGAGGTTGGAGAAACTTGGGTTGTTCTCACTGGAACGACGGAGGTTGAGGGGGCACCTGATAGAGGCCTACAAGATTATAAAGGACATGGACAGACTGGACAGTCAGAAGCTTTTTCCCAGGGTGGAAGAGTCAGTTACCAGGGGCCATGGGTTTAAGGTGCGAGGAGCAAGGTTTAAAGGTGATGTACGAGGCAAGTTTTTTACACAGAGGGTGCTGGGTGCCTGGAACTTGCTGCCAGGGAAGGTAGTGGAAGCAGATACTATAGTGACTTTTAAAGGGCATCTTGACAAATATATGAACAGGATGGGAATAGAGGGATACGGTCCCCGGAAGCGTAGGGGGTTTCAGTAGTGACAGGCAGCATGTCGGTGCAGGCTTGGAAGGCCGAAGGGCCTGTTCCTGTACTGTAATTTTCTTTGTTATTTGTTCTTTGATTCTGGCCATCCTGCACTGGGGTGCATAGTTCTGTGATCCTTACAAGAACTATCTCTCCAACATTTTTAGGTACATCATCCTGATCATGTAAGCGTTCACATGCCCCGGGAGCCTGCATCTGTATCTGCCTCTGCCTTGCTGCCTGGACTCCTGTGGTTGAGCTGTCTCCAATTGGTGCTCCTGCATTGCCTGCACTGGTTCCTGTATAACAGGGTGTCTCTGTGCAATGCTGATCTCCTCCAGTGCTTGAAGATGAAGGAATACAGAGTAAATTATTTCCATTGTGCAACACCCTCTTCTTTAATAGCAGCCTCCAAAATTCCCTTCTTTCAGGGATTCAGATACTTGATTTAGTGAGTGGCCCATCTGTCCCTAAGCTGTGTGCCGCCCTTTAACTTTTGGAACAAACATTTTAGGCTGAGTCACTTCCAGCCAGGTTTCTGTACTTAACAAGAATCACTATTACAATGAAATGGATTCCAGCTACAGGTAAACTATGAACTGTGGATCATTAACTCAAATAGTTAAAATTTGAACCCCCTTATGAAAAGTCCTCTACACATAGTTGGAAAGATAAAAACAACATTGATGTCATGGATGTAGGGAAAAAATTGAGAATAATGAACTGACCATGGAGTCACAACCTCCTGCATGGTTTATACCATCTTCTTGGTTACCTGTGTTTGTTTGGAACCCGATTTTCCCTTGGTGGCACATGTTTTTTTATAGCTATCCAAAAAAAGCTGACAGCTTTTGGGCAGGTACAACAAACAGAATCTGTTACAGATTTGCTGACCGTACCAATTGGCTGCACTTAAAGCATATCATTTTTATTGGCTTCATACTTATGTCTATCCTTAAGTAATGTGTCAACAATATGGCCCTTTTCCTTGCTCAGAAGATCCTTCCTAAAGGATTTAATTAGCATAGTGCTGATTACCAACTCAACGAACCTCTCTGGCAATTCTTTGGAAAGGTCACTCTCATATCCTTTACTGTAGCCTTTCTAAAACTTGGCCAGTAGAATCTTAGAATTACTGTCTATATGGCATGAGTTGGAGTCTGATAATCTTGAAGTTAATTCTTACATTGAGATGATGTTTGAGAATTTTCCAGATCTTCTCTAGATCTTTCTGATCGTCTACAGAAAGACTAATATTTTACTTCAGTGAAGCCCCTTCTTGCCAGTGGCTGTTTATCAGGATTGTGTATTGTCTGATCTGTAAAATAGAATGGCATACATTGTTTGCACAGTTATAACTCAGTAAAGATGCCAATGGATGTCCTCTCCATAGTATGCATTTGCCTTCTACTTTTCTTTACAAATCTTTGTCTTTTTTGTAGAAGTAGAATGCAGTGCTTCTTTGTTTATTTATTTTAAGAGTTTTACTTCACTTCCCTTTTGTTTCTCCCTTTATTGCATCTGTTTCCCTTCATTTTTTTTTGCTGTTGTTGCCTCTTTCCTAGCCTTGATTCCTTTAAAATTTGTTTTATAAATGGCAGGCTTGTATTTGCAGGTTTATGACAAATAAGGATTGTTGACATTACATGGGTTTTTTAAAATTATTTTTGTGTTAATTTGGAGAAAGAAAGTTGCAGTACCAACTGAGGTATGGGCATAGATAAGCTTTCTTAATGTAAAATAAGTCTTGTTTTCTTTGAGGGTAGCTTTGGAATTACGCTTTCAGGACCGTTTAACTACCTTATTTTAATTGGACAGCATCCCCTTATGTTATTTTTAAAGAGAAAAATGTCTTCAGTACAGATCTTGTAACCTTTAGTTTTGGTTTAGTTTTTGTAATTTCATTTTGTTTTGGTTTTTAAGTAATGTATTTGTCCAATTTCTCTGTCCAGAGTTGTTGCCCAGATGGTTGTCAAGTAGTTTTTCAAATACCTGCCACCAAGACCCTTCAAGTTTGAGACATGCCTTTTAGTTGTTGCAATGCAGTGTATTTGTCATGTAATTTGCTGGTATATGCTGTCGGTGCGACATTTAGATAGGAGGGTGCCTACAGCAACTGTCCATCCCTTCATCTGCTGACAACCAAGACAAGCTGCTTGGCTTTCTGTCTTCCCTAAACAGCAAGGCAAGTCAGAAATACTATGAGCATTTAAACTCTGGCTGGGGGGTGTGGTGTGGTGGTTGGGGTGAAGCGCAAAATGGCTCGGCGATGTTGCAAACTTCTATATAGGTGCAAAGTGAGTGCACGCTAAGAGAATGAGAAAGCAATTCTGAGATGCTGGCTGTTCCAGACCAAAGTGTCCTTGCAGCAGCATTACACACCAGTGTATTCCGAAGTACAGCATTAAAGGACACAAATGTAAGTGGATCAGAGATGTGCCATGATGCTGTGGTGAGGCTGGTATGAGTCAGATTCCAATACCTGGATGTGAGGTGCACGTGGTTGCTGTCCACAGTGTGTACCCTGGGATGTTGTTGCCAGGTGTCCTCGATGGAGCCTGAGGATTGACCGTCAAGCTGCAGTCATGAATTACCAGCTCCGAATTTCATGTCAGGAACTCTCAAAACCCAATTGCTATCTGGAGGGCAGAAGAGCAGGAGAGTGTATATTAATGGTGTGAGATTAAGACCTGTTGAGAGTGATAGTAAATAATAATCCATGCTAAAAGGCCTCTCACTGCTCACGACCAAGAATCTTGCCTTGACATCCAAGACTTGGTTGGAAATGCAACTTTTTGGTCCCAAATTTAATCAAGCACCACCTCGCTCTATTTTCCTAAAACTGTTGCCACAGCCAACTTCACTCAGAGGCTGACAAGACTCCCCTAGGTGTGAAAGCAAAGGTAAAGTTGCCGTACTCCCAGAGGACCATAGGGCTGCTCCCTCACTAGACAGAGACGACTGCTGGTGGTCTAACCCGAGGGTCACCCCACCTCAGACAAGAGGAGAGGTTGAGAAGGAGAGTCCTTCATGGTAACCTCAGCCATTGTAGGAATTTAACCCGCACTGTTGGTGTCAGTCAGTATCACAAGCCAGCAATCCAGCCAACTAAGCTAACTGACCCCCCTCCCACCCCCGCATCAGGAGTCTTATAGCACAGAAGGAGACCATTCTGTTTGAAAGAGATATCCAATTAACCATCACGTTTTCTCCAAATCCCACTGCTTTTTTCCTTTTAAGTATACATTTAATTCCCTCTTGAAAGTTACTACAGAATCTGCTTTCTCCTTTCTTTCATGTTATACATTCCAGATTGTAATAGTCTGTTTTGCAAATGAAACTGCCTCACCTTCCCTCTGATTCTTTGCGAATTATCAGAAATTTGAGTCCTCTGGAACCTGACCTTTCCTGCACCGGAAACAGTTTCTCCTTATTCATGCATTCTTAGTTTTTCAATGTAAATTGCATGTGAACAAAACTACCCAGATCTGTCTTCATTTGTATATGCTCTTCCAAAATGAATGGATAGAAATGCAGTTTCAGACAGTGTGCACCAAAATATTTTTGTTCCCATTGTCTCCCAGGCCTTACAACTCCGACTGCATGTCATGACTCACAAATCAATAGATAATACATTGCTAAGTACTGCTGGGACAGAAGGCGAAAATGTCAGTGAGGTTCCTTCTGAAGGCGATACCAATGATGCAGCAACGCAGGAGGTGCTACCCACAGGTACTACTTAGACCACATATGGTGAGGAGCAGGAGTAACTCATTGAGCCTGTCAAGCTTCCTCTTGCATTAATTTAAACTATGGCTAATCTGTATCTTACTTCCATTTGCCTCCTTGGATCCGTGAGTCTTTATACCCCAATCGAACAGAGTTCTATAAATCCGTTTTTTAATCTTTCAGTTGAACAAATCTGAATAGCTTTTGAAGGATATGGCTTCTACTACCATTTCCATATAAGCACCTTCTTAACAGCCTCAATTTCTTTTCTTGTCTGACTTTACTATTGAACAAGTCAGATACCAGTCTGAAATCTGACTTGATAGATCATAGTTTTAGCAAGGCACTCATTCACTGAAACAGAAGCGCATAATGCTACCAGTTAGTTTTAACAATAAAGCAAGTTTATTATATAAATAAGTGAAAATAAAATAATATAGACCAAACTATTTTACATATAACACAAAATTAAATATTTCAAAACACATGGTAAAATATAATTGTGGCTCAGCGGTTAGCTCTGCTGCCTCACAGTGCCAGGAACCCGGGTTCAATTCCACCCTCGGGTGACTGTCTGTGTGGAGTTTGTACATTGTCCCCGTGTCTGTGTGGGTTTCCTCCAGGTGCTCCTGTTTCCTCCCACAGTCAAAAGATGTGCAGGCTAGGTGGATTGACCATGTTAAATTTCCCGTCAGGGATGTGTAGATTAAGTGGTTCTGGTGGAATGCTCTTCGGAGGATCGATGTGGACATTTTGGGCCAAAGGGCCTGTTTCCACACTGTAGGGACTCTATGATCTGATCTATAATTCTACTGATCCCAACGGTGTTCCTTTATGGTACTCACACTAGAGTGAGAATTCCCTTCTTGATCACACACAGGGTTTGACTTAACAGATGCTTCAATTTCCAATCCTGAGAGTCTGACAGCCTCTTCATTTCACGTAATGCACGATTGTTTATCATTTTTGCTGATAATATTCTCCCAACATAAACAAATTGCAATAACTATCTCTGACTATGTTTAAAAGAAATTAAATGGCTGCAGAAATACTTACAAGTTAATCATCAAACTCAGATACACAGACCAAAATGCATATGCCATTAGCTCAATTTCCAACTCTAAAATAAATGATATTAAAAATATATAAATCACACACATTACATGACACTAGTTCAAATTTTAAGATTATGTCCAGTTCTATCCTCCTCTACCAGAAGAAACCTATCAATTCCTTTACTTATTTAACCACTTCTTATCATCAAAATTATTGATACATAAGAATGCAATCTTTGCAACCTGTCCTTTTATTTAACTCTTTAAGCCAGATTTCATGTTGGTGAACCTTTGTTATGCTCCTACCAAGACTAATATTTCTGAAGAAGGGTCTATACCCGAAACGTCAGCCTTCCCGCTCCTCTGATGCTGCTTGGCCTGCTGTGTTCATCCAGCGCTCTACACCTTGTTATATCATTCCAAAGCTGCACAGCCTAGAACTGAACGCAGTACTCTGAATGAGTAGTAACGGGGGATTTAGATAAATATAATTTAACATCCAGTCATTTGTATTCCATCCCCTTGATGTAAATGCCAATATTTCAGTCACCTTTTTAAATTATTTTTTGTACCAGCCCAAAGCTAAAAACTACTCAGTCTCATGAAAACAAATAAAAAAGCTCCACATGAATGTGGTTTGGAAAAAAGAGCAATATAGATAAAAGGCCATTATGAAATACATCTCAGGGTTCAATGACCTGATGAAGTAAAGTAAGAAAAACATGTCAACATCATCAAAAACCCAGAGGTATAGCAGTTTTCTGTGAACCACTTCCGCTTTCATCACTCATTGTGACATGTTAATTGAACTCCTCTGGCATTGATGAAATATTGAAGGGAGAGGAGATTTGGGTCAGGCAAGGGTGAGTCCAAAGTTTGGTTCATAGCAAATAAAACAGTAAAGTAACAATAAAAATAAGCTCCACTACAAGTAGAAAGTGAGTATCACAGAATCCCTACAGTGTGGAAATAAGTCATTCAGCCCATCAAGTCCACACCCGACACTCCAAAGAGCATCCCACCCAGACCCAGCCCCTACCCTATCCCTGTAACCCTGCATTTCCAATGGCTAATCCAACTAACCTGCACATCACTAGATACTATGGGCATTTTAACATGGCCAATCCACCTAACCAGCACATCTTTGGACTGAGAGTAGTTCTTGGATTTAGTAGGCATCAGCAGGTGAATCAAGACTACTCTCAATTACATTGCCTTACAAAAATCCTCTCGGTTCTACTCCAATTGCCCACTGTATAATATGTGCCTGCACAAATCTGGCAACATAGAGTATCATGACTAAATTTTGGCACAGACCACATCCAGTGCTAATTAAAAGGGCATTTTCCCTTACAGCTATTGATTACCACAGAGCTAATAGCTGTTGGGAGAGTGACTGATTTGAAAGACTGATATTGCAATTATAGTGCTGTTACAGTGCAGTTTTTGTTCCACATTTTTTTTAAATATGAATGCAGCAAACATTTCTGTGAGTTCTGTATTTTTTAACTTTTTTATGGCATTTGTTCTTCCTGTCTGTAGGATGAATCCTACAATATTTTGTTAGATGTCTACATAATTTTATTACATATGGTAAGTTTAGCTGAAACAAAGCAGATGTTTTATGATTCATTACCAAACATGTTACAGAACAGAAATATTACTGAGTGAATGTTAATTTGCAAATATTCAGCATATTTGTTTGAAGGACATTAACCTCAAGACATTAACCTGTCTGTTCTGATCACAGATGCTGAATGTTTATCAACCAAAATAATGTTGAGAATATTTCAGGTAACACTGAAATAGTTTTCATCTTAGTGGCTGAAAAGGGGTTTCAATTTTCAAAAGTAAATTGTTAAACTTGATTCGTTCTCTATGTATAGATCAGTCTCAGATTTTAGAAGAAAGTCAGTTCACAGATGGTGGCAAAACTTCACAAGATCGTTTGATTGAAGATCTGAAGTGGACACGTCATGTAAGGTAGTTATGTGAGATTGTGTAGCCAGTCAACTCGAGGTGACGCTGAATGTCAGCAATAATACCCAATATGCTGTAATTATACAATTTCAAAATATTACTAATGACTTGGTTGGTGGACCAGTGCAGTTGATCTTGGACAATAGCAAAAAGAGAGTTTAATGAATTTCAGTCCAGTTTTACACCCTGTTTAGTGCAACTGATTTCCATTTTCCTCCCCAAGTACTGATGAATGTCATACACTGAAACTTTTAGGTGTTTCTTTCACCAGTGAACATGCTCTGAGAGGAACAGCCCTCAACCTAGGGCTAAGTATGCATACTCACATCCCAAATCCAGGGGACATAGTCATCCACATGTCACATAATATCTCCAAGGACACATCAATCTCATGATAAGTACTTGACCCTAACCCAGCTAATCTGACTGAAGGGTAAAGGTTGAGGTTCTGCCAAGGATACACCAATTTTATATGTTCACAAAAACAGAAGTTGCTGGAAAAGCTCAGCAGGTCTGGCAGCATTTGTGAAGAGAAATCAGAGTTAACGTTTAGGGTCCGGTGACCCTTCCTCAAAACTCAGGAAGGGTCTGAGAAACTGAGGAAGGGTCACCAGACCCGAAACATTAACTCTGATTTCTCCTCACAGATGCTGCCCAACCTGCTAAGCTTTTCCAGCAATCTCTATTTTTGTTTCTGATTTACAGCATCTGCAGTTCTTTTGGTTTTTATTTCTTATTTGTTGTGGGAACAACCTTTAGGCAGATTCCCGACTAAGGAGTGAATGAAGGTGAAATTTCTTTCTTTTTCACAATAATGGATGATCAATATTATTGCAGGCCACTTGTTGGTTCTCAATTCAAGCCAGACTCAAACTGTCTTCCATGATAAACTTTCTTTCTGATGTTGTGATCAATTCCTTGGTAATGCCTGTCCTTTTTTTAATTCTTCTCCATCTCCTATAAAGAACAGACAGGATTTTTTTGTGATAACAAGGTGTAGAGCTGGATGAGCACAGCAGGCCAAGCAGCATCAGAGGAGCAGGAAAGCTGACGTTTTGGGTCGAGACCCTTCTTCAGGATTTTTTTGTTCTAGTTCTTGCCTCCTGCTGAAATCAAGTTTCTATCTTTTCTGGATACCACACAGTTTGCTGCTTCTAGATCCCAATTTTATTCTTAACAGAAATGGAAAGGGACAGCACCATCAAAGACCACATCCATTCATATGGTTCATTCCAGTCAACAAATTCCGTACTATATGCAATGGGCATTTTCTCAAATGCTTGTTTGCAATTTTGCAAAATGCATTGCTGTTGGACTTTCCTGTGTCTGCGTTTGACCTACAGGATAATGTTGTATTATTATTACAGTCAACGTATTTGTATACATGCACTGGATCATAACATGTGTCCTGAGGATATAAAAGTTTTGGACACCATCTTATCTTAGGCCACTTAAGACAGGAAGACATATGAACAAAAATGGGCCATTCAGCTCAAGAAATCTGCTCTGCCATCCAATGAGACCATGGCTGATCTGACAATTCTCAGCTCTACTTTCCTGCTTTTTCCCCATATTCCCAGGTTCCCTTACTGACTGAACATCTGTCTATCTCAGCCTTTAATATACTTAATGGCTCAGCCCCAACAGCCTTCTACGGGAAAGAATTTCGCAGGTACAGCAACATTTCAGAGAAGAATTTCCTCCATATTTGTGTCTTAAATGTACCACCCCTTATTCTGTGATAATGCCCTCTGGTCCCCAACTCTCCCACAAGAAGAAAAAATCTTTCCACATCCACCTTGCCAAGTCTCCAAAGGATGTTGAGTGTGTAAGTGAAACCCTCTGTTCTGTAGATTTCTGCAGATTTTCACCATTTAAATAATATTCAGCTTCTCTGCTCTTCTCGCCAAAGTGCATAACTTCACAGTTTCCAACACTATATTTCATCTGCCAAGTTTTTATTTCCCACCGCTTAACCCGCGTATCCCTTTGCAGACTCCTTGTATCATCCTTTCCACTTATCTTCCCACCTATTTTTGTGTCATCTGCACACTTGCCTATAGTACATTCACTTTCCTCATCCAAGTCATTTATAAACATTGTAAATAATTGTGGCTTCAGCACTGATCACTGTGGCACTCCACTAGTTACAGGTTGCCATCCTGAAAGTTCACCTTTATCCATAACTCTCTTTCTTCTATTAGTTAGCCAATCCTCTGTCCATGCTTATATACTAGCTCCAATGCCATGGGCTCTTATCTTATAAAATAGCATAATGTATGGTACCTTCTAAAGCTTCTTCCTGAAAATCCAAATACATCACATCCATTGCTTCCCCTTTATCTATTCACTTGAAGCATGACGTGCTGATCGAAACATACTGATATATGTAACCAAATAAATTCATGTTAACCTAGACATGGATGTGCTGTAAATATAATATTTCTATATATTAGTGAACTATAATAAATATCAGTTGGATATTTCAATACTATGTTACCCGAGTCCTGATTTCTTATGTTACAAGGGATAGCATAAGCATCGGGTAAAGATACTCTGCTGGAGGCAAAATACACATCATGATTAGCAGTAGTGTCTGTCTATAAATTGGGTGGCAGATACTTGAAAACCAAATTGAAGGTCAATTGGAAAAAAGCCCTAGACATCAAAGAATTCGGACAATAGGCAGCACTTGATCAGTATCACCAGCTACTGTGAGTACAGATTTGTACCTAGTACATTGCCCAGCCAGAAGACAGAGGTAGTTTCATTTTGAATAAAATCTAAGTTCTTTCTAATTGAATGCTGCTGTCTGGCCATCCCCAGTTGCCCTTGAGAAGGTGGTGGTGAGCTGCCTTCATGAATCGCTGCAGTCCATGTGCTTAAGTGGACCACAATGGTGTCAGGGGAATTCCAGGATTTTGACCGAGTGACAGCGAATAAGCAGAGATATATTTCCAAGCCAGGATAGTGAGTGGCTTGGAAAGGAAATTGCAAGTGATGGTGTTCTTATCTATTTGCTGCCCCTGTTTTTCTAGATGGAAGTGTTTTATTTTTGTTTTTTTAAAAAGGCAGTTTAATGGTCTTCCTTACATCACTGCAAGGCTTTTCTAAAAGAAACTAAATACAGCTTAAAATAAACACAAGAGCAGTTTTCTATAGTAAAAAGGCATTGCTGTGTGCAAAGATCAGATGGTTCTGCCATTTTTCCTTTCCAATTCAATTCAAAAGTAGAGGCATGCTCCTGCGATGCCATTATTTCTTATTTGAGGTGAACGTCATCTAGTGGCTTAAAGTTGCAACTGCAAGCTTGCAATTTTGAACAACATAGCTGTGGTGCTTAATCTAAAATTCCTGAACGGACAAAGACCAGTAAAGGTGTGGCAGCAGTGAAAAATAAAGGGAAATAGAAACTAAAAAAATAAAAAAACAAAAGGAGAGAAAAGCAAAACAATAAAGAAATAAATACAATGCACGCTCTTTCTAAAACAAAGCAAACACCTCCAAGGAGATGTAAAGTCAAACGCTTAAATATGGGCTGTGTAGCGAATGATGCCTTTATTGAATTACAACTTTCAAGCAATGTATGCAGTTTTATTTTACAGATCTAGTGACAGATGATCCTGAGAAGAGAGCTCTGAAATCTTCTTTGCTATTTGGCAATGAGAGGCTTCATAGGATCAATACATTTGGTCTTCCTATGAATGATCAGAAAGATCTAGAAAAGATTTGAAAGCCATTTAAACACCAGCTCAAAGTAAGAATTAACTCCAGGACTCTCAGATTCCAACTCATATCACACATTCAGGAACCTCAAGAGTCTATTGATCAGTTTGTCAGAAGACATGAATGTGACCCTTCTGAAGAGGAACTGATAGAGGGAATCGATGCACTAGTTATCACCGCCACACCAACTAAAGCCTTTAGGAAGGAACTCCTGGACAAGAGAAAAGACCATGCCATTGACAGATTATTTGAAGATGTTCTATGGCAAGCATGAAGCCCACAACAATTCTGTGCTTTAAGCGCAGCTAAAACTATTGCTACAGTCAAGAACTTGCACTAAACCAAAAAAACCTTTAACAGAGAGGTTATTACACCTTCTCACAAGCTGTCCAGATTTTCTTCATATTTGCAAAGCATGTGGCAACAAAAGGCTTTAGGGATGTATAGTTCCAAAGGCCACACCAGAGTCTGGAACAAAATACAGGTGACCAACAGACAGTACAGTACCTCAACACTATCCTCCATCACTACCTCCTATGGGAGCACATTCCAGGCACTTATCACCCTCTATGTAAAAATCTTGCCTCTCACATCTCCTTTAAACTTACCCGCCTTTACCTTCAACATTTGTCCCCTAGTAAGTGACATTTCTACGCTGAGAAAAAAACTCCAACTATCCATTTTGATCATGCCTCTCATAATTTTGTAAACTTCTATCAGGTCACACCTCACCCTATGATGTTCAAGTGAATTCAAACCGAGTTTATCCAATCCCTCCTCATAACCAATTCCCTCCAAATCAGGCCCAATCCAGCAGTTTCTGTGCCATCTTAAAGCCTCTGCATCTTTATGGAAGTATGACAACCAAAACTGTACACAATATTCCAAATATAGCCTAAAGTTTTATATAGCTCCAGTACGACTTGGCAATTTTTATACTGTCTGCCCAACTGATATGGTTTCTTGACCACCTTATCCACCTTATGTGTTGCCACTTTCAGGGAACAGTGGACCTGTATGCCTAGATCCTTCTGTATGTTGTTGCTGCTAAGGATTCTGCCATTTACTGTATACTTCTCTCCTGCATTAGATCTTCGAAAATGCATCATCTCACATTTGTCTGGATTAAACGCCATTTGCCGTTTCTTCGCCCAATTCTCCGGCCTATCTGTATCCTGCTGTATCCTCTATCAATTCTCCTCATCTATCTGCAGCTCCTTCACTCTTGTGCAATCCACTAAGTTATTAAACAAGCTACTTACATCCTCCTCCAAATAATTTATATGTATTAGCTGGAGTTCTCCTGAAAGCCCAAAGGAACAGAAGAAAGTACTTTTCAGAGGATGGCAGGAAGAAGCCACGCACCCAGATTAAGCAGACCTGGACAGAGTCAACTAACAGAGCAGAAAAGATCTAGTCGAAATAAATGGGATATAGTTGAGGAAATCGCACAGGATACATGCCACATTATGTAATTGTGACTGATCTGTGATATTAACGGCATTGGGATGCTTGTAGAAGATGCCCTCTCCAGTCTTCCAGAGTGCCAGCAACAGACTGAATCAGTCACCAAAGAAGATCGAGGTACCACCTATCACAGCGCACTTTCAGTATTTTCAACTTTCTTGACTCTATGCTGGAGGGAACATCTTTAAGCCATGCCCAGTGATGGATGCTGCCTTCCAATGATGCAGGTACACAGCAGTTCTGATGATAATCACCCAGCTCCTCCATGACCAGGATGACCATCAGCCACAGCACTGCTACATGCCACATGTCCTCCGAGACCACAAGGGGAGTGTCACAAAGAGGCAACTAAGTACAGAGCCAACACATCATGAGTGGTTCTTTCTTAGACCCTAAAGGGAAATTCCAGTCCCAAGTAGTCAATTAACAATGACAGTTAAACCTCCAGGCAGATGTGCATTCTTCATTTGTGATAAGAGTTTATATGTTCTAGCAGCATCTTCAATGCAAGTGTTAGTACAGGCAACTCTGAGTTATTTCCATTCTGTGCTATTCGCCTTTGAGGGAGAAACTCAGATGAGAGATACCTAAATCCTTTACATTCATGGCATCCCAATGAGAACCTCAAATCCCAGGCCAGACCAGCCTGGGTTCTACTTGCAACATCTTATTTAGGTAGCAGCACAGCCTTGCATCCATTCTCCAAGGGGCAGACAGTATCGCCACTGCTGGCAGTGACACTGCGGATAAATTGATCTCCAGTTTGTCTAATGAGCACATTTTCAGCCCATACATAAAACTTAAAGTAATCAATGCTGAGAATGATGCTGGTTTGAACTGTTTATGTCTCAACAGGACTACACGACGTGTACCAGTTCTCGTAGATGAATACATTCTTGAAGAGCAGGGCAATCGCAAGGCAGAAGAAATTCGCAAGTTCCGCCAAAGGCGAGAGGTGATCCTGGAACAGCGAAAGAAAGAAAGGCAGGCTCGCCGTCAGCTGAAGGCACAGCAACTGCAAATGTATGAGGCTATGCAGGTAAGGTCATTTGTTGCCAGAAATATTCCTTGCAAAGCTTCCAAGATAAACTGGAAAATGCCTGCTTTCTTGCAGTACATGCTCCAAAGAAATTTCAGATTTAGTTTACACACAAAATTCAGGCCGACATCAGCAGTGGAATACAGAGGAAGTGCTGTGCTGTTGAAGGGACCACGTTTTTGATGAAGCTCAATCTGCCCTCCCAGGTTGTCCCACAAGATATCACATCACCATTTCCAGTGTTATCCTAGCTGATGTTATTTCTGGACACTTCAGATCCCTGACTGAAATATGGCTTGATAGGTCACATTTTGTTTTGGTTTGAATGAGAAGCTGTCTCAATGAGATAGAAGCACACCATGTTGCAGATTTTGTCCTAACAATAAAACACGATTATTAAGCAAAAGAAATGAAGATAGAATAAAATAAATCAGTCTATTATAAAACAAATTCAAGAAGTTTTAGACATAGTTAAAATATAATCCTATTAATCCCAAGTTACAAAAAAAATTCCTTGTACAGACACTGAAAAACAACCTCAGTAAACCACACGAGAATCCTTTTCCCTAACACCTCAATAAGATAGCTGTGAGTTTAACTTCTAAACTGGGAGATCTGATAGCTTATTCCTGGAGCTATCATACACCTGTGTTTAAAAAGACTCTGCTTCACGTCTTTTTCAGGATTTTATCCCAACACTTCCAATCTTGGATTATTACTAACTCCGTACTCGAAAGTAATTTCACTACATTCTCTGAAATAAAACAAAGAACTACAGATGCTGCAGATCGGAAACAAAAACAGAAATTGTGGAGAAACTCACCACATCTGGCAACTTCTATGGGAAGAAAGAGTTAATGTTTCAAGTCCAGTGACACTTCAGCAGAACTGTTAGCAGCTAGGAAAAGATTGTATTTATGCTAAAGCCAAAGTTGGGGGAAGAAGGGGAATGGTGAGCAGATAGGTGGAGATGGAGCCGAGCCAGAAAGATGGTGGCAAGGTGGCTCAGTGATTAGCACTGCTGCCTCACAGCACCAGGGACCTGGGTTTGATTCCACCCTCAGGCAACTCTCTGTGTGGAGTTTGCACATTCCCCCTGTGTGGGTTTCCGCTGGGTGCTCCAGTTTCCTCCCACAATCCAGAAATGTGCAGGTTAGGTGGATTGGCCATGCTAAATTGCCTATAGTGTCCATGGATGTGTAAGTTAGGTGGATTAGTCATGGGAAAGGCAGGGTTGCAGGGAATGGTTTGGGGCTGGGTCTGGGTGGGATACTCTTCAGAGGGTCAGTGTGGACTTGTTGGGCCAAATGGCCTGTTTTCACACTGTAGGAAATTTATGATATGAAAGGGGTATGTAAACAAGATTATGGATAGCAGGCCAGGACTGAAAAGGCTGAATGAGTGACAATAAGAGCTATGAGTAGGAGAATATTGGTGAGCTGTACTGGATGCAACCCATATGATGTGATTAGAGATTAAAAATAACTGCAGATGCTGCAATCCAAGGTAGACAAACAAGGGGCTGGAAGAACACAGCAGGCCAGGCAGCCGCTGGAGGAAAGAAGAAGTCAACATTTCAGTATTATCCTTCTTTAGGACTGGAATTGGGGTAGGGGGAGCTGCAGACAGAGAGTTTGGGAGGGAGGGAGGTAGCGGAGTGACGGTGATAGATGGACACTGGTAGTAGGTACGACCTGGTTGGTCGATGGGAGGGATGAATCCAGTTGGTGGCTGGAAAGGGAGCCAGGGGATGGGTGGGAAGGTTATTTGAAATTGGAGAACTCAATGTTGAGTCCTCCGTGCTCTAGGGTACCCAGGCAGAAGACAAGGTGTTTTTCAGATTTGCGTTCTGAGTTGCTGTGACAGTGGAGGAGGCTGAGAACGGACATGTAGAGGGTGGGGGTGATGGGTGAGGTAGGATGTTGAAATGGGTGGTGACCGAGAGGTTAGGCTGGCTGTTATGGGCCAGGTGAAGATGCTCGACGAAACAGGCACCTAGTCTACGTTTCATCTTACCGATGTAGAGAAGACCACATCGGGAGCCCTGGATGCGGTAGACTAGGTTGGAGCAGATGCAGGTGAAGGAAGGCCCTCAATGGAGGTGAGGGAGGTGATGTGTGGGCAGGTGTTGTATCTTTTACACTTTGGATACTTTCCACCCCACCAGCCTCCGCATCCAACATATCATCTTCAAACACTTCCACCAACTCCAATTAGATCCCACCACCCGGAACATCTTCCACTGCCCACCCCTCACTGCCGTCCGCAAGGACCATTCACTTTGCCACTCCTTAGTTGGTGCCACACTCCCCAGCGACCACTCCAACCACACCCGATACCTTCCCTTGTAACTGTAAAAGATGCAACACCTGCCCACACACCACCTCCCATACCTCCATCCAGTGCCCGAAACAGTTCTTCCAGGTGAGACAGAGCTTCACCTGCATCTCCTCAAACCTAGTCTATTGCATCCGGTGCTCCCGAATGGTCTTCTCTCCATCGGTAACATCAAATGTAGACTAGGTGACCATTTCACCGAGCATCTTCATCTAGCCCATAATGGCCAGCCTAACCTCCTGGTCACCACCCATTTCAATTCCACCACCTCCCCTCACCCCCACAACCCCACTCCCCCTCCAACATTGTCCTCAGCCTCCTCCAGTGTCACAGACACTCAGAGCGCAAATTTAAAGAACAACAGCTTATCCTCCACCTGGGCACACTACAGCCCAGAACGCTCAACATTGAGTTCTCCAATGCCAAATAACCTTACCCCCTATCCCCCGGCTCCCTTTCCAGGCCCACCTCCTCCCTTCCATTCCACCTTCTGACCCTCCCTTCTCGCCACCAACCGGATTCATCCCTCCCATTGACCAACCGGGTCATACCTATTACCAGTGTTCACCTATCACCACCATTCTGCTACCCCACCCCCATCAACTCACCCTCCCCCATCTTTATCTGCAGCTCCCCCTACCCCCACATCCAGTCCTAAAGAAGAGTAATACCCGAAACATTGAGTTCTCCTTTCTTCCAGTTGCTGCCTGGCTTACTGTGTTTTTCCAGCCTCCTGTTTGTCTACCATATAACGTGATAATGGGTGAAGGAATGCATGAGAATGGGTGACCTTGCTAAAAACAACCATGTCATAACAATACTGGGTGTGGTAACGAACATGGAGGAATGCAAGCAGGCTGTACTGTTGTTGAACTCTATGTTGAGTCCCACAGGCTGCGCGATCCTCAAGCAGACATTGAGATGTTGTTCTTCGAGCTTGCACTGAGCCTCACTGAGATGCAGCCGGCCTGAGATAGAAATGTTGGCCAGGGAACATGGTGGTGTGTTGAAGGGGCAGGCAACTTGAAGCTCAGGATCATTATTGCAGACATGATTTGATTTGATTTAATGTGGTCACATATACCAAAGTACAGTTTTGTTTTGTGAGCAGTACAGGCAGATCACCACAAACAAGGATATACAGATCATAGGGAGCTTAGACAGAGAGGAATACAAGGTTATGGTTGCACAGGAAGTGCACAAATCAAGACCACCATTAGCAAGATCAACATTATTTGAAGTTAGAGAGGCCCATTCAGCAGTCTAATAACGACAGAGAAGAAGCTGTTCTTGAACCCGTTGGGGCGTATGTTCAAGCTTCTCTATCTTCTGCCTGATCGAAGAGACTGGAAGAGAACACTACCAGGGCAGAACCTAGATGTTCTGCAAAGTGGTTGTTCAATCTGCATTTCGTCTACTCGACGTAGAGGAGATGACATTGTGAGCAGTGAACACAGTAGACTAGATTGAATGAAGTACAAGTAAATCGCTGCTTCACCTGGAAGATATGTCTGGGGCCTTGGATGATGGTGAGGGAGGAGGTAAATGGGCAGGTATTAACATTCTGTGATGGCATGGAAAGATGCCGTAGGGGTATGAGGAAATGTTGGAAATAGAGGAGGAGTGGACCAGAGTGCCCTGGAGGGAATGGTCCCTGTGGAATGCTAACAAGGAAGGGGAGGGGAATATATGTCTGTTCATGGCATCCCATTGGATGTTGTCCCTCCCCACAACTCTTTCTCCAGTACATCAATGCATCATCAGTGCTGCTTCCCTCTCTCATTCTAAACCTGAAAAGCTTATCAATTTCGCTTCCAATTTCCACACTGGCCCCACCTTCACCTGGTCCATCTCCAACTCCTCCCTTCCCTTCTTCGACATCTCTGTTTCCATTTCTGAGGATAGGCTGAACACCAATATGTAGGATAAACCAGACTCCAGAGCTACCTTGACTACATATCCTCCGACCTGCTTCCTGTATAGATGCGAATCCATTCTCCTAGTTTTTCTGTCTTATATTCAAGGGTTGAGGAAGATGTGGATGTTCGCACCACTAACAGGAGCAGTATTTGCTGCCCTTCCTAATTGCTTTTGAGAAGGAGTGGTGACCTACCACCTTAAACCGCTGCAGTCTATATAAAACAGATTCACTTGCAGAGTTGTTAGGCATGAGGTTTGGGCGATAACTCATCAATAACAAAGCAAAGTTTATTTATTTCAAGTCATGATAGTGTGTTTATTGTAGGAGAGTTTGGAGATACCAGCCTCTTTGTCCAAGATTGTAGATTTCATGGATTTAGTGTTTAATATCAAAGAAACCTTGATGCAGTGCATTTTGTAAATGGCATGCAGTACAGCTGTCTGGTGGATCTGCCCTGCCAATGGGACAGAACATACCCAGGGATTGTGATGAAGATGTCAGAAATGTTGGCTGAAAGATACGATTCTGTGGGAATGTTTTTATCAAGCTATTGCTTGACTAGTCTGTATGACTGCTCTGTCAATTTTGGTATAAGTCCAGAACTGTTAGTGAGGAGGTTTCTACAGGGTTGTCTGGTGTGTCTCCATCATATCTGGTGCCTAGGTCAATGTCAGATGGCCTACTCAGTTTTATTCTTTTCATTAAGAGTTTGGCACAATTGAGTGCCTTGCTAGGCCATTTCAGAGGGCAGTTTTTAAAGTCAACCAGATTGCTGTGTATCTGAAGTCATATCGGACAATGTGGGAATGTCAGATTTCATTCCCCAATAGTGAGTAATTTGGGTTTTAACCCTAATCCATTAGTTCTCCAATCACAATTACTCGTAGTTGGCTTTTTATTCCAGGTTTATTTAATTTACATTCTCCAGTTATCACAGTGGGAATTGAACACTGGTCTCCTCTGTATTAGTTTACGTTTCTGAATTTCTAGTAACATAACCTGGATGTTACAGTTCCAGTTATTAACGCTATTAATCCACAATTCTGCTTTTAGTGATTGTGTATCTGAAACCCTCAAATCCCTCTGCCATTCTATCCCAGCCATTTAGTTTTCACAGAACATGTGGCACCAAAATGTATTACATCACATTTTTACTATATTAAAATTCATTAGGCAATTTCACATTTATTTCTTTTCAGGTTTATTCATATCTTCCTGCATTTTGCCACAGCCGTCCTTGATATTAACATCCAGTTTGGTGTTGTTTGTGCAAGAATGAGTACTAGTACAATCCCTTGTTTCCATACTCTGCAGGAAGCCTTAGATGAAGCTCGGAACAACATCTACGAACTCAGAGAGTCATACAGAAATAAACTTATCGAGGAAGAATTGAAGCAAAGAGAAATTGCAGCAATGGAAGCAGCTCTCCGGGCAGAGCAGGAGAGAAAGGTCATGAGTTCCACGAATAAAATACCTAAGAGCTCAGGAAGGAGAAAGTAAAACTGCAACGTGACAAATCATTTTCAAAGTTTTAGATTGTATTTTTAATCACATTTCATTGAATGACTTCCAGCCATTAGTGTTTTAAACCATATCTCCAAATTTATTTCTTAAGTTCCATGCTCATTTTCTTTTACTATAGTGTTAACTAATTACTTTTGCTCAAGTTCAGAATAGGTAGATACTTGAAGTAAAAATGCAAAAATACAATTTATTTATTTCCTCTTTACAGATGCTGGTTGGCCTATTCTGTTTTGCGTTTTTTTTTGTTTTGAATCTACAGCCTTGATTCATGTAGGTCCTTTACTTTGGCATTTCTGTGAGCTTTTTTTCAATTCTGAATCACAATTATTAAACTTTGTTCTCTTGTAACACAGGCATATTTAAGGGGAAGCTGAATAAATATGAGGAAGTAAAGAATCAGAAAGATATGCTGATTGTGTGATTTGATAAAATTGGAAGAAGTTTGCAGAGAGCATAAACACCAGCACAGCCATGTGGGCCGAATGGCCTGCCAGCATTGTCAGAGGCAAGCTTGGCACCTGATTAAAAGTGCAGGGTGGTGTCTGGGGATCAGAAACTTGTTCTAGCATGCAATGCTGCAAGACAGATGCTAGCCATTGCCGAACTTAACATTGCCTGATAAATTGAAACAGGCAGGAGAGCAAAAGACCACCAATGACAGCGTATACTGGTGACCGAATGGTCAATAGTAAGGTACTTGGTCCTCACTCCTTAAGTGAAAGCAACTTTGAGCACTTCATTTTAATTAATACTTTCAACAGTTTAATACTGCAGCATTGTGTCTCATCACAGTGCTGTTTGTTCTTGCCATTTGCTACTTTGAAAATTACCCCGGCTCTCTGCATCCACTGAATAACCTCTTCAACAAGATTAACAGTTAATTGGAGGTGAGTGAGTTGCTGTCTTCATGATTGAGCTTTGTGAAAATCACCACCCATTCCAGAGGCATCAAAAGATTAGCACTCAAGACCAACAGTGGCCACACCAGACCTTGACTTTCACATGCTGGAAGTAGCCATGGTGCCTTCAATTCATTCTACTCTATGATGACTGAGGAAAACCAATAGGAATATTGGGCTGATGGATTCAAAAAGTACACCAACACACTGGTGTTCCTGAGAAACCCCTCTAACTATAGGCTGGCAGCCTAGACTGAAAGCCTAAGCATCTGTTTAATTTTGTTCATCCCATAATTAGAATTACAGAATGGTTAAAGCATAGAAGGTGGCCATTCACCCATCATTTATGTCTGCTCACTGTAGGATCTACCCACCTAATGCTACTCCTGCCTTTTCCTTGAAGCCCTGCAATTGTTTTCTCTTCAGTGTGTAGAGCCACAATTGAATCTGCATGCACTGCACTCACACATACTGTATTTCAGATCCTAACCATATGCTGCATAAAAAACGGTTTTTCTTTAAGTTGTTGCTGGTTTTGTTTTTGCAAATCACCTTATATTTGTGTCCATCTAGCCATTGTGCTCTAAGTCAGTCCAGGGGCTGTGGTCCAGTCATTCAGTAGTGAGGGGCATTGGACGGCAATCATTCTGAGGTCTGGCTTCAGTCAGTCAAGGGAAGTCCAGGGTTGGAATGCGTCTATCCAAGGCATTGTCCACACTGATGCCAACTGATGCCTGGAGCTCAGTGAGCATCAGGGTGCAATCAATTTAACCCACAAAGCCATCAGAACACCTAGAAAATTGTCAGTGTTCACGAACAGGAAAGGCTGATTTTTAAAAAAAATGTTCTAATCAACCTGTTCAGAGTTGCGATCACACACATCTAGGAGCAGGTGGGACTTGAATCTGAGCCTCCCAGTCCAGAGGTAGGGGCATTACCCCTGTGCCACAAGAGCCCTTGAAGAGGAAAAGCTTCCACCTTGTGAATGTGCGGATCACCTGTGATCACAACAGCCAGTTAATGCAATTATTGCAGCTGCCTAGGAAACCGTTCAATTCTGCATATCTCATTGAGTGGAAAGTGTTTCATTTTGCACTATTGTTTGCCAATAAAGGTAATTTGCTTTTTACTATCTGCTTGTGATAACTTTTTGGGAAAAACCTTTGTTGAGAAGCCTGTGGACTCTGTGGTAACTTACTGCTATGAACAAGGGTTCATGGAGGTTTGCAATATTCTGCACCAACTCACTTTCAGAGAGAAATTCAATTAGGAAGCATTCAACCAAGAGAAGACTCTCCAGCTCTGTGACATCTGACTTGATCTAATTTTCTACATTCTGCATTCAGTACTACACCATACCATTGCAATGACTAACCCTCCTTAGTGAATTAGGGTCCAGTATAAAGAATTACGCAAATGTCATAACTTCCCCACTATCCCCCTCTAAGGAATGATGAGAGCCACCTCTGCATTACCCATCTCATATCTTAAGAATGCCAAGCCTAGCTATGGAAACTCCAGCCAGGAAAAAGACATTTTCTCTCCTACACCTTGTGAAAGCTGGTCATTTCTCTACATCACCTCCTCTGCCTGCACAGGGCCCACATGTGGCTGTCCCAGGCCAAATATTCTGCTGTTGAAAAAATTGGACAGAAGTGTGCATCCCTGAATACCACTTCTGGAGCTGTGGCTGCATTGTCCAGTTGCCAGGTCCATCGTTCGCTTGGTTACAAGACAGACTACAAGCACATACATTGGTGATGCAGGGAGACATTCAAAGGTTAGAGACAAAAAAACTGCAGATGCTGGAGTCCAAAGTAGATAAACAGGAGGCTGGAAGAACACAGCAAGCCAGTCAGCATCTGGATGAAAGGAGCAATCAATGTTTCAGGTATTACCCTTCTTCCAGTCCTAAAGAAGGGTAATACCCAAAACGTTGACTGCTTCTTTCCTCCAGATGCTGCCTGGCCTGCTGTGTTCTTCCAGCCTCCTGTTTGTCTACTAGACATTTAAAGCTGTCCTGACAGAAAAGCAGTATTTCCTTACAATGAGGGAAGGTGCTCCACTGATTTGACCTCAGGCAACTCTGTGAACACCTATCAGGAGATAACAGTCAACTACAATCAACATGAGAATACTGTTCGTGATATTATATTTACAATAGTGCACAATAATTTTATGCTCAAATACCATGCCACCAAGAGACCTTTAAATGTCTCCTAGACAACAAGGTGCAGGGCTGGATGAACACAGCAGGCCAAGCAGCATCATAGGAGCAGAGAGGCTGACATTTCGGGCCTAGACCCTTCATCAGAAAAGGGGGAGGGGAAGGGGGGTTCTGAAATAAATAGGGAGAGAGTGGGAGGCGGATAGAAGATGGATAGAGGAGAGGGTAGGTGGAGAGGAAACAAACAGGTCGAAGAGGCGGGGATGGGGCCAGGAAAGGTGAGTGTAGGTAGGGAGTTAGGAAGGGGATAGGTCAGTCCAGGGAGGACGGACAGGTCAAGGGGGCGGGATGAGGTTGGTCGGTAGGAGATGGAGGTGCGGCTTGAGGTGGGAGGAGGGGATAGGTGGGAGGAAGAACAGGTTAGGGAGGCAGGGACGAGCTGTCTCCTTTTTCCTTTACCTCTTACTTCATCCAGGTAGAGCCTTGACATTCATGGCTAGGATGGAGGGACCTGCTGATTAGTACACCCTGGTGACAATGAAGACTTTGACAAGTGTCCTGTGTAAGATTGGAGCCGAGAGGGCCCCAGACTGGTGAGAGTCTTCTGCACTGACTCTCCTTGGCCTAATCTGTTGTGCAATGCAGTCACTGACACAGAGGAGAGGCTAAAGCAATTGAGTGCAGATTTGAGCAGGGATGTGGCATTCACTGAACATTGTCCGGTACCTTCAGTATAACCATCACCCTTTACATAGAAGTTTGTTTTCCAGAGCCACAGAGTCTCCAGTTTAGTAAGGACATCTAACAAACCAGCCTGATTTTCCCTTGCCTGTTTCTACAGCTGAGCATATCAGTTATGGCAGAGTACACAAACACATCTGACTGGGAGTAAGCAGGTGCCCGGTCTCTTCTAGTTCTCTGAATGTCAGAGACCTTGGGTATTGCTGCTTCCATCCATTGCGGACTTGTGTCAATGATATTCTCTCCAGATTGTGTCCTCCAAGAAAGGTCTATATACAGTAACCACAAGATGAAAGGTTCTGAAGCACTGGAGGCTGTTGGTGGACACCTTGCTTGAGCATCTTCACTCAAAACCCCTTCTAGGTCTACTTAAAGAGAACAAAGCAGTACCGCCCTTAGCTTCAGGCCAAATTCAGTGTAAGTGCGTATAGTTATAAATTGGAACACCATCTGGGAGGCCAAATAGCAAATGCGGATACATTGACCCGCCTCCTGCTGGCAGATACACCACTGGTGGTAATGCCATGGGAAGAGTCCAATGGTTTTAAATTTTCTGGACACACTCACAGTCACAGCTGAAAAATCAGACTGTGGACGCAAAAGATCCAGCACTGGCAAAACTAATGGGGGAAACAAAGGGGCCATGACAAACAGAATTGAAACCTTTATGGACCTGGAGAGACCAGATTGCAGTAGAGGACAGCATATTATTATGGGGAAGCAGGAGTGATTGTCCTGAGCAAAGGTCGCAGCCAAATACTGGCAGAACTCCACCAGGGTCATCCAGGGGTTACCAAAATGAAGATGCTGGCAAGCAGTTATGTCTGGTGGCCAGGAGTGGATGCAGACATAGCCACGTTGGTGGGGCAGTTCCCAGAGTGCTAACAAGGACAAACATAACTGCCAGCAGCTCCTCCATATTTGTGGGAATGGCCGGGTAGACCCTGAACACAGTTATACGTCAACTATGTAGGTCCTTCCATGGACTCAATGTTCTTGGTCATTGTGGATGACCACTCGAAGTGATTGGATATGCATAGAGTTCAATTGTCAAACATGGGGATGACGCGAGAAAAACTGTGCATACCTTTCGCAATACATGGACTTTCAGAAGTGTTGGTCACAGATAACGGGCTATCATTTACCAGCAGGGAATTTGAGTACTTCCTAAAGTCAA